TTTTAAAGTAAACAAGATTAGGCCAGTGTTTAAATCACATCTGGTACGATACAACTACCCACAATACATTATGGCCAATGAAAACAGTTTTTCACTCATAAAACCATTTGGTTTTGTGACAAGCGCCACCATTGCCTTGTGTTGAAATTATATTGTTTTTAAGAATAATGCAAACGAGATGATCAGACTGGTTTTACTGGAACTGACGAAGTTCATTGTGGAAAATAATTTGTGTATACATGGTGAATGTCATGTCCCAAGTCCTACCAGGGGTAGTAGATAAAATGCACTGCAAGATGAAAATGAAACTCCAAAATTGTGTTAAATATCTAGTAGATCTCAGACACTCAATATTAAAATAAAACACCTTGTGTAAAACATAATAACTATTAATGCATTAAAGGCACTTTTATTGGCGACATCAGATAATTGCACAATATTGAAAACAAACAAGTTCACACCAATAATTATACTCGTTCTCGGCAGCCATTCTCAATTGAAAACATTCTTGAACACAAACTTGGTAAAATTTTGCACTGTTCTTGTACCGGTATACGTACAGGCTTGGGTCCATTCTCCGCTCAACAGATTTGGTCATTAAAAAGCACTTGTCAGTGTACAGTTATCTTTGACTAATAATTTCACCACTTAAAACTTGGGTTTGCAGGGGGTTACATGAGCATGCCCTTCTTAACAGCGACAGTTTGGAGAATGGTAGTGCAAGTCGTGTTGGCAGTCTTGAGTCAACATAGAATAGTATCGAGGAATTTTGTATTGTATTGCATTCCACAACCACAAATTCATAGACGTTAGAATCAAAGTCTTGTAGAAAATTAGTTTTCTAAAAAAATGTTTTTCTGTACAAGAATTTGGCAAATTATCCATCTTTGGTCCAAAACTGACATAAAATCTGTCAATACACAACACACAAGAAAAGCAAAATTCAGCCATGAAGGTTTAACCTTTTCACCACCAGTCTTTCTCGCCCAGATTTGTCTTCACTTTTTTTTTCTTGTATTCTTCAATATTTCTGGGAATGAACCGTAAATTTGGAGCCAACAGACAAAATTTGAGTCAATCTTTACCCAAAAAATTTGCTATTTTTGTCCCAACCTTCATAAGGAAAGTGCTGCAGAACTATTTTGTGAAATTGTGTTGAAAAGAGGGAACAGGTGGTGAAAATGTTAAAATGACAATGACATAGTTATAACAACTGCATATTCAAGTATTATTCTCTCAACGATTTGTCTTTTTTAAACATTTTACTATAGTACCTTATTGTCACAAAAACACTAATGCCTGTAAGTGCCCAACTGACTTCTACTGAGCATGCCATCAACCAAAATGTAAAAACGCATTCATTATTGTGCAAGCCCTTCCTATGTATATACGCACTTCTGATGACAGTGTCGCTATAAAAAGATCAAATATTAAAACAAACTAGCTGATGTTAAAAAACATGTCAACAGTAAATTCAATTTAATAACGGTGAACTTCTTAACAGAAAAAATTGAAACAATATCGCCTTTCATATCGACCACTTGCATGCCGCGATGCTTCGACAAATAAATTAAACGATGAAATGTACAAGAATGTTATAAAAACTGTACACTCCCCAAAATAAACACAAAGAAACAACCTGAAAACTGTACAATAGGAAATATCCTCTCAAAAAGTCTATAATATGCACAAAATTAGACATGTCAAAAGATTTAGAAAATATCATTGATTGTAACTGAGAAAGTGGCCTTCGATATAATTTTGATGTTCACTAAGGCATTTCACTGTAAAGTGCGGACTTATTTTTGACCAAATTTCATGAATCTCGTAATCAATGATATTGATAGGATAAAGAAAATAATCAAATTGCTTTTACTATGGCTGCATACTACGACCAGTCGGCCAATACAGCAGTACACAGGGTTTCTATGTATGGCAGCATTATATTCTTAAACAACTGTTCTGATGAATGCGATCAAGTGCAATAATCTGGGTTTTATTCTGCAAACCTAACAAAGAACTGTGGTCTATTTCATCTATACCTAGTACCAGTACCTCAGAACTAAAAGACAGCGTTTGCTCTATTAGACTACCTATATAACAAATACTCCATTATTTTTATGCTGTATCATAACAGCACCCAAAAAATAAACTAATCTGGAACACTCGCTAATAGTATCGCATCGGCCATCTGCTCGTCACACTGTTTTGTATCCATTCTTCAGTGTGCATGTTGAAGATCACATTTGATTGGACGCATAAGCAAAATTATCTACCAATCAGATACCAATATTAACATTTCAAATATGCCAGACTGACTTTATTCTGAGTTCCTGTTTTTTTTTTTTTTTTAAGAATCCTTTGCGAGTGTGATCCAGATTCAAAGGATGGTCACTGGCAGAGTTTCAGGCAGAGTTTCAGGCAGATTTTTGATTTGGCAGGAAATATACATTCACCATCACTGGCATGTTAGGAAACACAGTTCAGCATTGTAAAATGTAGCCGACAAATTTATAAAATTGTATTGATTTGTTTTCAGTTGTTACAGCATGGTTGCTCTATATCCATAAATACAGAAAAATATCAAGCATTGTCCACCAGAGACCCCCTTCCTCGCATACACAGAATTTCAACATATTTACGATACTAGATAGGAGCAATCTGATTGGCTAAACATTTCTCTATTTCACTTGAGGCAGCACAACTAACATATGTTTATAGAATAAGCTAATATTTGGAGGCAAAAAGCTGGAACATTATTTCTTGAAAATTCAAGATGTATCATATCTGACAACTCTCAACTCAAATGAATTTGGATTCAAAATTAAGTAAAAGAATTGCGCTGAACATGAAAAAGGTGAGTTCTACAAGCATTCTACACTGGAACACAGAATCATTATTTGTTAACAAACTTGCAATTTCATTTCAAAAATTGTAGGAAATGTCAATGGTTAAAGGCGAAGTCAAAAACACTTAATGTTTTCAGGGATATTACAATGTTGGTTCTTGGTTTTCCTGATGAATTTATTTTGGTGCCCATTGTGAAATAAAACACACTTGTCGTTTATAAGCTTGACTGATAGAGCAAAGAAAGATACTGATAGTCTTGCAAAAAATTACCAGGTAATACATATGTGTAAAATAAACAAATAAGCATTTGCAGAGTATATCCTACGTATAAATACAGTGTATGATGCCACATTGCTCCGTCAGTTGTCGCTGCGTACAATCTCCCAGAGCTTAGTGTGGATTTTAGACATTGTGGCAGCATAATCTTATCTTCTATTTAAATTAAATTAACTGACTGGGTTGGATCTCTACTCTGTTCTAGACAAGCCACTGACATAATGCAGCATGTAAGTAGTGAGAACAGTATGAAATGGAATCTAATCCTCTGGAACAGCTGTATTGAAATATTGAACGAAAAAAAAACGCTGAAAATGTTTGAATCAATCCAGTTAAATCTCACAAATGTTATCCTTACAAATAGACCAATATCAAATCAACATAGATGATCACAACACACACACAGGTTCCTGGAGTAAAAAAAAAATGGTTTGGTATAGAAATAATTGTAGGGTAAAATAACCACCGGAAATGGTTTTCCATCTAAGAATTGTTTTGTTCACAAAATACTAATTTTGTATTACAGAAAGATTGAATACTTTTTCTATATTATTGTTTCAATTCTCTTGCGTGATTTGATGGAGATAATTTTCTTCTCAGAAATACACAATGAATACAAGCTGGATGTGATGAGTTTCTCACAAGCTGCTTGCGATATACCCCCACAGCTATGTAAGTTGATTTTTGTCAGTCGCTTGCATCGTTGCAAGTATTCTATGCTGTTTTCTGTCAGTTTGTGGCAACCTGTCAGATCAAGATCTGAAAATAAAAAGATAGATTGTCAAAAGTTAGTAATGATAATGATTAGATGCAATGTTTTAACACACGAAATAGATAAAATCGCATCAATGTATTTAGAGTCTGTTAATTTCAATTGAGTGTGCACTTTGACGCACATTTCCTAGCAACAAGGTGCTTCTGTAGAAATGACCGAGATGGGCAAATCAATATCAATCAGGGCAACAACTGTTTCATTAGAATAGAGGAAATCTCAAATATTTTTTTGGAAATGATTTACAACTACGATGTATAGATGAAAGCAGTACCAATGAACTATACAAGTTTGTCATATACTATACATGTCAAATGCTGATTTGTCTATTAAAATGAGGGAGATTTCCCCCAAGTGATGAATCTACATAGATAATACAAATATCAAATCAAACCAAGTAAACTAATTGACACAGCAAAAAGAAAACTGATTGAAAACTTACCCGTCAGCTTATCTCTGAAAGGAGACTGCAATGAGGTGATCATATCAACAGATTTATCAGTTAACAAAGTACAGTAACTCAAATCTAACTTGCTTAGCTGCCGACAGTGTTTGATCACTGACACCATGGCGGCATCAGTCACATCACAGCCAGCCAATAACAGATGCGTTAGGTGACGCAATCTCGACTGTTCGTCCAAGCAACCAGGACGGTGGTCCGACGGAGGAGACAACAAGTCTTGTATTGTAGATTCTCTTATCCCTTCACACCATCGCAAATCTAATTTTTTTAATAACGGACAGGTGATTGTGCAGAGTGCAGACACAGCAGACCAAGAGCACCCAGCGAGGCCAAGTTCTTTAAGACTTGGAAGTCTATTCACCAACCAACTCAACTGTTTTTTGCTGATATTTGTATATCCAAGATCCAGCGATGTGGGCTGCCGCCGGATGATTCCACTCATTGCTGATGGCGTGATAGGTGCGATTCGTGTTAGATCCAGTCTATTCCACAGCCTTTTATCGCAGCACCAGCGATTCCATGTTTTACACACACTCATACAACGACACAGATCCTGTTGTGGGAGATGCCTGAACACAGACATCCAGAGTTCTCGTTTCACCATGTGGTTATCTCCACTATCCAAAGGCAGAGAGTCTGGAGGAGGACTTACTGGCCGTGGCCGCACAACATGTCGTTCCATTTCAATAGGTTTTGCTGGAATAAAGTTAGTAGGTTTTGATATTCGCCCACCGACAGTCCGAGGGCTTCTACGCATCCCATTTGTGGCATTATTTATCGGCGTATGAATGGATGTTGACGGTTCAGGTACAGCTTCTTTCTTTATTTGCACTTCACACATGTCTAATATTCCCTGGGATTTTTGTCTGTTATTGCGCATTTCCTGTATTTTCTTCTTCAATAACTTCTGTTTCGCTAACAATTTCTCTCGTTTAATTTTTAAAGCTCTGCTAAATGTGCTTGGTTTCCCCACTTTGGGTTTTCCAAGGGTACCCTTCAACGAGGGTCTCCCTAGGATACGCCTCTTTCTTTTCAGAAACATTGTCTGCCTGCCGTCATTACCCTGCAATCAAAGTACAAGTATGGTCAGTCATATTAGACTGCAAAAAAAAAGTTTACCAAAGAGAAATGCGTGCACATGCAGCTAACCCAACCAACCCTATTCCCAGAGCATAATGGATTAATCAGAGTTTATATTTTACAGCCAGGGAATAAACCATTGTGCAAATTCAGAGGGAGCATGTTAGTTTCAATCAGCTTTTTTCACCAAATTGTAGCTATCCACTATATTGTATGAATCACATCACCATGGAAACATACCATTATGCAGTGGAAGTAAGGCTGACAAAGACTATTAGTTAACAGAAACAGAAATTAAGTTAATTACCTGTTTAACATGCATAGGAAAATTCTAGGCGACAGACAGCTGTATTGTGAGAGGATGGAGGATCAACTGGACTGGGCAAGTGGCATCAAAACAATGACAAATTAGGTGAAAGGTATCCACAATGTGAGAGCTTCAAAATGAATTACGGATGAAAAAAAAAATTCTGATTTCCAAGTTGTTTCTTCAGAGCATTAAAAAAAAAATACACTTGTATGTACATTTAAGGAAATGTTGGTTATTTATTGTTTTTAAATATTTCCAGTTTGGAGTGGGATAACTTCAATGGAAATATAACGGATCTTGTCTCTACTTCCACTTGCAATTTCAAAGAATACTGATAAATGGAGCAATGCAATTACAATTTGTTTAGCATTGTATGAACATTTTTATATTAAAACATCCATAAAGTAGCATCTTGGAATTGCAAATCAGTGTTCCCATGGAAACTTATTAAATGCAACAATTTGCTCGCAATTGGACTCCTGTAACCTGGGTATTCAGGTCGAACAGTCAAAAAGATTTTTTAACAGACAACTTGGAAATCAGACATGGTGTTACAACACGATTTCACAGCATGTTAAACAGAGCAGCCATAGATCTTGTGTTTGAACTTAGATAAACGTTTGAAAGTGATTATTCACTTTTTTTAAATCAAGAGATGGAGGTGATTTGTACAATATACTACACCAATTACATCATTCTAAATTCCTCAAATTAAAGAGAAGGGGAATCTGATAATTGGGGGAGGGATTAAGTTTGTTATGGTATAGCAATTTATGTTTAAAATAAGACCGTGCTTGGTACTGAGTACACAGGCCATTTGGAATGCAGTGCCTTTTGCCCGAGACCCATGGCTCACCAATTCTTTGCCTACTTGGACCTAATCAATAATGAATACAGATCATATAATGGCATAAAATTAAAATTTGAACACCCTAAGTTAATGGCTTTTTGTAGAAACAATTTAAACACATTTAACGTTATTCATGTTTCCCCAGCTAAATAAATTCATCCATTCATTCATTTGACAGTGTAATAAATCTGATTTCATAACATCTCTGCACAGAATACAAACAAATCACTTGCTTGCTAAATTATTTATGAAGCTACAACATGGCATTCTATAATGCAATTCGCCATTGAATTCAAGTCATTTTCCAAAGAGTATATCATGTCAATCACGCAATTCAATGTCACAGTATTGGGGATTGCTATAACTACAATGTAGACTGGGACAATATATGAATCTCCAGAGGTGACGGCTCCCCGGACAAAATACAGAATATTTAGCCTACATCCTTCTCTGGGGGGGGGGGCCCTATTTATACCAGACTTAATGCCTAATATTGACATTTGGCAATCAAAATTTAGGTTTATATCCTATGAAAGCTGCCTCAACTAAACCTGCCATGCCCCCCCCCCCCCTTACATCATCTGTATCGGCTCTGATGTAATCACTGCCATAACATGGGAAGATGACAATTATATCTATTTTCATTTTTTTTTTAAATTGATGACATGATAAAATTTTTTCAATCAACTTGATTAGAGAATTCAAATAATGTATATGTAAAAAAGAACCCAGAGCCAAAACATAGATAAAGCAAAACTGTTTATTGATTCAATCTAAACTAAGTGGACAATACTCGTGCATATAAGAAACAAGACCCGACACAGGCTCCTCAACCACTGCCACAAAATCAATCTTCAAAAAAGTTCAGTCACTGCATGCATTTAGTTTAAAATTGTGTGTCGAAAAAAACAACACCCATGCCAAATGAGACAGGCAATTTAAGGTGGTCTGTATTATAAGGGACTTTTTCACCAGCCAGCCCTACTTTAAAAGAACTTTTTTTTTAAAACCAGAGACTATTGTAACAGTTGCAAAACAGCCCATGCAAGGACCCACACAATTGAGGCAGAAACATTGTAAAAACAGACATGATAAAAATAAGTTTGGTACATTTCTAAGTTGTTGCAATCAAAATATGTTAATAAGCTACCATACAAATCCTACAAAAATAACCGGCAATATCAAAAAGTTATGGCAATTTTTTTTTGAATATATTTTTATATATATATACATATAAAATTCAGTAATGTTTTATAAATCAACAAACGCAGAGTAAAATAGAAGGCGCCTTTAGAAGAAAACTTGAAAATGAAGTTCAATGGCAGCCAAATTTGAAAAATGAATACAACATCTGAATATAAAGTTGGTAAAACAAAAGTTCTGCATAATAATTGATGACTCGTCTTGTCATCAGTAACACGATAAAATATTAAATAGGATCTCGACATTTCAGGAGTTAAGACTATGGCCAAAAAAAGTCACTATTATTTTTAGTACTAGTAGTAATGTCCAGTGTTAATTCTTGTTTATATTCAAATAAAATACAGTAACATGTTGGAAAGACTCTGGTCATCACTTGCATAGTGTTACATATATGCCGATTTACAAAGATGTGCAAATGAATTTGTTATTCCACTGTCGGAAGAAACCCCACCCACCTTGATAAAGCTACAGTCATGATCTACCTATTAACTGCACAAGTTAATGCAAATACTAGTGGACTTGTCAGTCAGCGAAATATAATAATTGTAAATAATGTAGATTATACACAAAATATTAAAAAAAGTACAAAATTGGAACCTGCTCACAAGGCAACAACTGTAAAGTAAAACTACAGGATCGTGTGATTATAATATTGGACTATCAGGACTACACACTTGTGAAATAAATCTAAGATAAGTCTTGAGTCCTAATATCATATCTTTGTGATGTAAACCCCTACGTGTGATTAAAACAGAACAGTTTTTTTTTTTTTTTTAAGTGTTTCCTATCTAAGAGACTTTTTAGGAGATTGTAGTACCTCTTTGTCCCTTGGCCTTTTTCCTGGTGTTCTGCTTTGGAATCTGGAGGAAGACAGAGCACCACGCCCTCGTCCAGTTTTGAGCTGAAACAAAAATAAACGTCTGATAAAGTCCTGAAACTTGCAGTGGTTTGTGTATGAAATATGGTTGTCAATGCATAATGATAATATCCCATCAATTTATAGACATTGGTGCAGTTTAAAAGTGCATGATAGGTCTCGCATTTTTAATTGTACAAGACACGAGTGAAAAAATCTAGGGTTATTCAGTTTTGAGGGAAAAATGAGGGTTAGGAGCAAATGTAGGTGGGGTGGGGGTATTTCAATTGTTAAGGTCTAGTTTCGGCATGGTTTGAGGTTTGAAACATTGAAAAAATAAATTGTTTGCTGGCAATGTAAACGAAATACAAATGAAACAATATGCGAAGAAAACACAGACTTGATGGGCCTCATCTGACTTTTGTAGCATCACAGCCAATGTTTTCAAAGTTTTACAAGTTGTTTTTATGGCATGTGAGCTATACTGTGACCGATTCATAAATTTTTAAATCTAGTCCAAATAGAATACACTAATAAGAATACACTAATAACTTGTACCTTTTTTTTGGTGGTGGAATCTGGTGTTTTTCCTGGGCTTACACCCTATAAAGAAAGAAAGAACATTTCAATATTGAGAAACAAAGATAAACAAGTCATTGAAAATGACACAGATCCTGTTAAATTTTTGAAAGTTCTCTTTGTGCTCGTCACGAGCGTGTCCTTGAAACTTGAGTTCCAAGTGGCGAATACAATAGATTGTTTATTTACATCAAATTTGAACACGTGTTGCGTGACGACCCCCTCCGGTTTAAGACGTAGCAAAGAAAAACATAGATCACAAGAGAAAGCATGTCCAAGTTATCACATTTTAAACAAACAAGATGGCCACCAGTCGATCAAATTTGATCAAATTGCAAATTGAATTGACATGTACATGTATCCATTTATGACATGCTAAATATCAATGAAAATGATACATGGGTAACAGAGATATAGTAATATGGCAAAAATAAAAACAGCCGTTATTCGGCCATCTTTGATCTGATTATGAAACAAAAAGACCTGTATGATGTATGTGCCAAATACGAATGAAAATGGTACATAGATCTTAGAAATATAGTACTGGTAGCAAGGCCAAAAAGTCAGATGGCTGTCAATCGACCATCCTTGATCTGATTTTGAAACAAATTGTCATGGACATGTATCCTAATATGTATAAAGTATGTGCCAAATTTGAATGAAAACAGACAAAGCATGTGCAAAATACAACATGGCTGCCAGTCGGCCATTTTGAATCGAATCGCTAAACAACTGCATGTGCATATGTCCCACATAACATACTAGGCACATGCAAAGAATGAACGGAACGGAATCTGTCCAAAGGATTCTGAAATACGACTCCGGATGGATGGACACACAGACACCGAATAACAAGTCCCCGTTTTCGGACTTTGTTGTTCAGCCAAACTGTTCAAGAACTTTGGGTACATTTTGGGGCAAAGTCTGATGAGCAACAGTAAAAAAAAAAAATGCTTATAAAAATATCAACAATTCCAGAGTCAATGCAAAGTTACTTTTACAAGATTGTGCCAACACCTAACAGTCTGGTCAATCAGAAAGCTGCTTGTTTTGTTTTTTTTCAACACATCAAATTCTGCCTTTGACTCAACTGCAATTTTTTGTGATAAAACAATTTGGCTGAAAAGGGCTATTATTGTTTCATGACATTGTGGACAGGCTGCAAGTAGACTTGGCGTCACTGAAATGGAACACTGTCCATGGAACTTTGTACGAGTTCACCACAATGAAGTTCTATTTCACTCCATAACTATTACTGAGAAAAAATACTTTGTCTAAAACATCTGGTTATATCAAATAATTACCTACTACAAATGTACCATTTTCTATATATTATAATTCACAACCAGATGGGAAAACGGTTGAACCTAATTTGATTCGCAAAAATATGAATAAAAAAAAATACAAATCTGAATTCTTGTAGTATTCTGATACAAGAACAGTTTGTGTGTATACATCTCCACAGGTGATTTTTCAAGAAATACACATGCTGTCGAGGCAAAATGAAAAATTCTGCAACAGACTGACTAAGTACTCACCTTTCGTTTTCTCGACGTGGAATTAGAACTGCCTTTGTCTGATGACTTGACAGGACTTGTCCTTGATTTAGAGGTACTCGGTTCATTCTGTTACAAACAATGAACAATATGTTATGTTATTTAAAGACACAATCTCTGATGAAAAGCAATTTGTAATGATGCAACAAGATTAAAACAGAAACTATTATAACCTTGCTCCTTGAGAATCTAGATATTAACAAATAAAAATTCAAACCAAAAATGGATACAAACTAACAATGTACTAGCTGTCTGGTTAGATTAGTTACAATTTAAAGGCAGTGCTGCATTGCGTTCCATAAGTGACTCATAGCGAAATACAAATTGCTTGTAAAATACATTGTACACATGTAATTCTGACATGTGCTGCACAACGACCAACATCTTTTAAGTTTTGAAACGATAATATATCTGAAAAGAATTTCACGGAAAATGCTGGCTAAAATTCAGGTGAGAACAATTTTGAGCAAAAATGGACAATTACAAGGAGATATTATTCAAGTTTTTTTAATAATACAGTAACAGTAAAAACACTGATTTAGAATTGTTTTAGGGACACATCATGCGTACATGAAAAAAATAACTTATAAATTATTATATCATTATGATTGAAGAGCGAGTGAAGACCCCCAAAAAGTAAAAAACAAGCAAAGGATAATTTTAGATTAAAGTTCACAAATATCTTGAAAAAAAATACATACAACCCATGTCAAAACTGAACTTGTTCAATAGCACAAACGCGTTAATAAAATATCCAATTTAAAAAAAGATTATATAAAACTACGAGTTATTGTAACCACACGATAAAAGTTTACGCAACAGATGATGACAACGACGGACATCTTTAGTCTATCTAATGATGATCGGTTAAGTTAATAAGCGCAATGATCATAATATCAATCTAACCTACGGCTGCTCATGTTTACAACAACCACTGTAATAAGTAGACAAGGCAATAGTAATAAGGATTACTATCCAGATTATAGAAATATATTTTATAACTATAGGTTTACGAGGGTGAATTGCAAGAAATATGCCACTGGCAAAGAAATTACATGACACTAAGCCTTAAAGATTAGACAAGCGAAGCAAATTAATCTTGGGAGATTTATGTTAGAGAAATAAAAGTAACTTGTATTGGCCTGGGGTATGCAACTAAATTTAATACTAGTTTGGACGAATTTGAAAAGTACAATACCCAAATGTTTTGAATTTGTGCTTAGAGGGCTTTGAAGAGAAATTTACTGTGGGTAAGTACAATTTGAGGTCACCAAGCTATTTGGCGAGAAGGTACATGATGATTCATTTGCTGGTTTTTATCATCCTCAAAAATAGTTATGGCAAATCAAACTTGTGAAAAAATGAAAGTTTGGGCAATAAAATGAAATTGTTTGAAAGTAAAATGTGTTTGTAATATGACATGCATGCAATCAATCATACTTGGTATATATTTCATATTTGGTGGAGCGTCAAAAAAGTATCGAGGTCTATGTGCGAAAGATAATGCTGGTGAATAACTAGGCTCTTAGTAACTGACAGACATTTAACTCAACGCACATCTTGGCTGAGTGATATCCCTCCAAACTAAAATTGTTGCTAATTGAAAAACAATTAGCGATCTTGTGTCAATGGCATAGGGCGAGGTGACAAATATTCAGGAAATAGTACCTTATCACTGTCAGAGCTTTCACTGCAGCATTGGGGGCACTCCCAGCTATTGGAGAGGTCTTCATTGATGACTCCCACATGAGGCTGGCCTTCAGTTTTCAGACACTCTGGATGCACCACTTTAAAACATACATTACATTCCATCAATGTAATTATTCCACCATCTTTCACTCGTTCATCATGGTCATCACCACCACAAAGTTCACAGCATGCGGTATGAGGCAACACGGGCTAGTCAAGAAAAACAAGTCATTGTCAATGACACGTCCCCGTTCCGTTCATATTTGAGTGACATATACATTCAAAGCAGATCACGACCGAAATGCACCTGCATATGTACAACACATTGTGCTAAATCTGAACAAAATCCATCCATGCATGACTGAGATCTGGTTCTGGAATTGTGAAAATACGTGATTTTGATGCATTTTCGGCCTTAAAATGGCCATCATCGCTATGTAAGCAGATCATGAAACA